CGACACATAGGTCTTAATTCCTACTTAGTACTTAAATGACTTGTGTAGCTGTTTGGTTAAAGGCCCAAATCCATAATTTTGCCATCAACTCACATGGTGTGGCTCTCCAGCTTCCAGTGGTTCTGACCACATAGAACCACTTTTTTAGCTCTTCAAACTTGACAATACTAGGATTCTTTTTTTTGGGGGGGGGGTCCGGTCGTGGGGCCTGAACTCTGGGCCTGGGCGCTGTCCCTCAGCTCTTCAGCTCAAGGCTAGCGCTCTACCACTTGAGCCACAGTGCCACTTCCGGCTTTATTCTTTTTGCTTATGTGGTGCTGAGGAATCGAACCCAGGGCTTCATGCATGCAAGGCAAGCGCTCTACTACTGAGCCACCTTCCCAGCCCTAGCCAGCTTTCTTTAGTATTATTTATTTCTGTAGCCCAGGCTAGTCTCAAACTCGTGATTTTCCTGTTTTAGCCTTTCCAGTACTATGATTACAGGTGTGGATCACCATGCCTAGCTTTGTCCAACTTTCTTAAGACCAAGTGAACAACTAACAATTTTAGACATGTGGTTCTATTGCTAACCCTCATCATCATGGGCTAATTGTAAGGAAGCCTAGTGTGAATTACAGACTACTTGTGAAAAGAAGTAGCAGAGCCAGTTTCGGTGGTGCTTTGAAAGAAGGTGGCCATTTCTTAAAAAAAATAATACTGATCTCATTAGTCTTACTAATTATTTATCAGTAAGTGACCCCAAAGGACACGAAATTCTTAATCCTAAGTATTTTTTTTTTTTTTGTCAGTCATGGGGCTTGAATTCAGGGTCTTGGCACTGGCCTTGATCTTTTTTGCTTAAGGCTAGCATTCCACTACTTTCAGCCATAACACCACTTCTGGTTTTCTGGTGATTAACTGGAGATGAGAGTGTCATGGACTTTCCTGCCCAGGCAGGTTTTAAACTGCGATCCTTAGATCTCAGCCTCTTGTATTCTTTTTTTTTTTGTCTTGTCTTTTTTGATACTAAGGCTTGAACCTAGGACATTGCACTTGCTAGGCAAGTGCTTTGCCACCAAGTTACCTCCCAGCCCTCATTCTAATTGTAATTTTGTTGTCAGTCTTAGTTCTGTGGCAAGGTGTGAAAGAGCCTGATGTACAGAAATGAAGTTGCTAGTCCTGTCCTGTTTCCAGCTTTCAAAAGGGGTTTGAAGTCTCTTCATTTTGCTCATGTGCCATAGAGGGATAAACATTTCTATCTTCTCATCTCTGGGGTTACATAGATTTAAAAAGAAATTATCCTGGAACAATCAGAAGCACTTTTGGATAAAAGAGTATTTTAGTAGTCCTCTGTCATGGAAACCTCTACTATTAACTAGCTTTTTTTTTTTTTTTTGGTGTAGGAAAGCTAATGCTCTACCACCACTTGAGCCATAGCTCCACTTTTGGCTTTTTGGTGGTTGATTGGAGATAGGAGTCTCAGGGACTTTGCTTTCCTGGCTGGCTTCAAACTTTGATCCTTAGATCTCATCCTCCTGGGTCGCTAGGATTACAGGCATGAGCCACCAGTACCTCACCTTATGGTTTGATTTTTAATTAGAACTTCAGCTGGACTCCTCAGACCACAGTTCCCAAAATAGGAAATTATCCCACATCAGTCTTGTCTTTCAAACTTCTCTCCAAAATCTGCCTTTTATTTATTTCAGATAGTTGAATTTTTATTTTATCTAGTTTATTCATTATGGAAGTATTTTAGGAACAGAAGGACACAACCATGCTTATGTTAACTTCTTAGTCACCTCAGGCCAAGTATTTTCTCTCTGGGACTTTTCTTCCTCCAGAAAGAGAGAAGTTGGACTCCATGATCTGTAAGGATTTTTTTCAGCTCTGCTTTAGAAACATACACTCGCCACCACTCAGCACCAACAGTGACAGTCAAGCAGCACCAGAAGGGGTGCCCGTGGGAAGTGGTACCGGGAAGGGGGGTTCTCTCAGGCGGGACGTGCTCTGAAGGGCCAAGAGCTTGATGGTATTTGCAGTTATCTTTTGTTTCTGACCACAGAGGCCAGCAAGCTGAAGATTCAAGAAAGAAATGGCTTTCAGAAGCAAGGGGAAGATATTCCTTTTTGCTTCTGACCCTTAGAAATTAAGGAGACAATGTAGACACTTGAAAACAACTCAGAACTGGGAAAGGTGGCACTGGCCTGTAATATTAGCACTTAGGAGGCTGAGGCAAGAAGGTCCTGAAACAACCCAGCGAGACCTTTTCTCAAAAAGAAAAGATCTTCTGGAGTTCTTGTTTGACTTTTGGCACTGCATCCATCTTACTTTGAAAGGGGGTGCTGGGCCTGTAGGTTTTTTTTTTTTTAATATTGTTAATGCTTTATTGTAAATGAAAATTAAGGGACTACACAAGTATTATGAAGCAGAAGGCACCCCTTATAGGTTAAACTGACTCACTCTGTAGGGGGCACAAGGACCACACCCACAAAGGTCATCAACAGTGAGGTTACTGACAGCACGTCATCTACCACTGAAATTTCACTTTAAAAACAAATTTAAAGGGACACTGGCTACTGTTGACCTCTTAGCCAGGGAGTATAGAAGAGAAATCATCTACAGGTGCCTCAAGTCTCCACAAACACAGAGTTTTACAGAAAAAGCCTAAATTAAGCAAGAATGTCAGGTGATGTTGAAGCTTGCTTTTGAGAGGCAGTCTGCATTTAGGATGTTTGATCACACTCTTTCTCCTGCTGGATAGTTTCCTTTAAAGGAAGAGTGTTTTTTCCCTCTGTATTAGTTTTCTTCAGTTTTGATCTGTCAGACTTCTCCACTTTGGACATGTCTGGCTTATCACTCACCTTGACTGGAGGCCTGGTGGCTCCCGAGAGGACGCTGGCAGGGGTAGAACGCTGGCTGGCTTGGAGCCGGTTGGGTCTGTAGTTTTTGTTGTTGTTGGTCATGGGGCTTGAACTCTGGGCCTGGGTGCTGCCCTGAGCTCTTAGCTCAAGTTGAGCGCTCCACCGCTTGAGTCACTGCACCACTTTTGGTTTTCTGGTGGTTAATTGGAGATAAGAGTCTCAAGGACTTTCCTGGTCGGGCTGGCTTATAACCGTGATCCTCAGAGCTCAGCCTTCTGAGTAGCTAGGATTACAAGCATGAGCCACTGGTGCCTGGCTAGGTTTATTTTATTTTTTTAAAGCTAGCAGAGCAGAAACTTTATGACATGTCTGAGATACAAGTATAGTAGATTCATATAGCCCAGATTTATGTAGCCATTTGTTAGATCTCTAAGAAGACAATAAAATGAGAGTCAGCATTGTAAAGGAGCCTTCACAGACAGATTGTTTACATCCTGACTGCTGATGACTAAGTTGTTAAGACCTTGGGGGGGGGGGGCGGGGGGAAATCACTTGGCTTTTTTTTTTTTGTCAGTTGTGGGCTTGAACTCTGGGCCTGGGCACTGTCCCTGTGCTTTTCAGCCCAAGGCGAGTGCTCTACCGCTTGAGCCACAGCACCACTTCCAGTTTTCTAGTGGTTTACTGGAGATAAGAGTCTCACAGATTTTCTTGCTCCGGCTGACTTTGAACCGTGATCCTCAGCCTCTTGAGTAGCTAGGATTATAGGCGTGAGCCACCGACACCCAGCTTCACTTGGCTTTTAAAAAAATTATTTTTTATAATTGTTTAAAAGAACTAAGAGAAAGTTTATTACGGGAGTGAGGGTGAAGGGTGTTTGGAATCTCCAAGCTCTCATGTCTCTCAACTTTTTTATTCTTTCAACTTGGCTTTTTGAAATTTAGGGGTTATTTTATTTTTACAGTAGTACTAGCCCTTGAACTCAAGGTCTCACATCTCCCTTGTCTTTTTTACTGAAGGCTAGCCCTCTACTACTTGAGCCACACCTCTACATCTGCCTTTTTGGTGGTTAATTGGAGATAAGTCTCAAGGACTTTTCTGTCTGGGGTAACTTTGAATTGCAACCTTCAGATCTCAGCCTCCTGAGCAGTTAGGATTACAGGCTTGAGCCACTGGCATCAGACTGAAATTTAGATTTTTCACCCATAAGACCATCACATTGTCTTACATAAAACAAACACAATGCCTGGATGGGAGATACTTTACAGATGCTGAAATGTGAGTTCAATATATACTATATATTGGTGCCAGTCCTGGGGCTTGAACTCAGAGCCTGGACACTGTCCATGAACCTTTTTCTTCAAGACCTCAAGCTCTATTATTTGAGCTACACTTCTACTTCTTAGATTTTTTTCTTTGAGTTTTTTTCTGAGTCCCTTTCATGGGCTGACTTTGAAATATGATCTTCAGATCTCAACCTCCATAGTAGCTAGGATTATAGCTGTGAGGCACTGGCATCAGATCTGACTAATGTATCTACCCTCTATCTATCTGTAAATCTGGTTTTCTAGACCGTCATAATTTTAGTAGCATCCCAGTTGTATCCCTAAGTGATTGTGTGGCTCATTGTTCTAAGCCTTAGTTTCCTTCCTAAAAATAAGAGCCTTAAAATAAAAATAGTTCATTTCTGAGGTGCTTCTTGGCTTCAAGATGCTGTATATCAGTGTTTAAACTGCTGGGGAAGGGACTGGGAAGGTGGCTCAGTGGTAGAGTGCTTGCCTTGCATGCATGAGGCCCTGGGTTCGATTCCTTAGTACCACATAAGCAAAAAGAAAAAAGCCAGAAGTGGCGCTGTGGTTCAAGTGGTAGAGTGCTAGCCTTGAGCTGAAGAGCTGAGGGACAGCGCCCAGGCCCAGAGTTCAGGCCCCACGACCGGACCCCCCCCCAAAAAAAAAAAAAACTACTGGGGAATATATGTGTCTCAGTTAACGGAAAGAATTCCTGAGACCCTGTCATCAGATAGGGAAGGGGTCATCTCATGGAGCCAACTTCCTTCAAGATGAAGATGCAGATCCAAGCTTTGTCTCTTCATTGTATGAGAAAGAAGCCGTTGGTCTGATTCATACTTTACCTATCTCTTTTTGCTTTTTGCCTTCTGTGCAGGTCAGAGACAATTGCTGCAGAAAGATAGTGACTGTTTCTAAGACAACAAACATTGGGGGACCAGGCTGAAGGACTGACAGAAAGCATCCAGCCACCTAAATGGTAAGTCTGTTATAAAGTGACGGCTGCCCTTCCACATACACATATACATACATATACGTACTATGGTTGGTTGGTGTCTGCAGCCTTTATAACATCCTGGTGCTACAACGGAAGGAGAAAGCTACTACTTGTCCATGACTTGTTGGGAGCCAAGCACTAGGTAAGTAAGTACTTCACACATTTGTCAGTCTACCACAGTCTGATAAGGGTTAAAAAAAAAATCTTTAAATGAAGTCAGTGACCTTGAGCCAAACTACCACTTAGTGAATATTTAGAGCATGTCAAATACAGGCCTCTATGATGTACCTTTATCTCCCTTTTTACTGCAGCACTGAGAAGTTAGTGCTATTATTATGACCACAAGGGGGCGACATTAGAGAGGTTAAATAACTTTTCCAAGTTTATACATGTAATGAGAGAACTAGGTTTCAAATCTAGGTTCATTACAACTATAATATTTCCCTATGAGAAAGGTATATTTTTGGTTGAGATAGTGACTGACTTAACTTTGGGAAGCTTTTTATTTTTTTTTTGAGGGGGTGGTACTAGGGTTTGAATTCAAGGTTTTATGATTAGGCAGGCGGTCTACCACGTGAGCCGTACTTCCAGCCCTTTTTTGGATAAGGTCTCAGGTTTTTGCACATGGTTAATCCTCCTATTATGCATCTGTGTATTGGGATTAAAAGATGTGTGCCACACCACCACACTTGTTGAAGGTACCTTGCTAACTTTTTGCCCTCTTGGGCCCTGAACTAATCATCTGAATTCCTACCTCTCAAGTAATAAAAGAAACTTTTACTTGGTGCTGGTGGCTCAGGTTTGTAATCCTAGCTACTCAGGAGGCTGAGATGTGGGAACTGTGGTTTGAAGCTTGCCTGGGTAGGAAAGTCCACAAGACTTATCTCCAGTTAAGCATCAAAACCCAGAAGTGGACTGTGGCTAAAGTAATAGAGTGCTAGTCTTGAACAAAAAAGCTGAGGGACAGTAAGTTTTGTAAAGACACACACACACACACACAGAGTCTATGACCACTTAGTTCACACACACACACACACACACACACACACACACACACACACACACACACACACACACACACACACACACACACACACACAGAGTCTATGACCACTTAGTTCCTTTTTGCTAGCCCTTACAGGATTTTGTATATCCATACTTTGTTAGTAGGGCATGGGAGAGCACTAGGGAAGCAGGAACCAAAAAAATGAGAAGTCAGCCAGTGGCCAAGGCCAAGGGATCTAGGGGTTGAGTGTGAAACAGGGAGTCCTCTTAAGAGTTACTAGATACTGGGAGGAAAGGTAGACTTTTCAGTCTGTCTATCCCACCTAGGAAAGGGGTAGTTAGGAACTATAGGCACTCTTGAGGATGTGGGGAACTTCCTGGAGCAGTTACCTGTCTTAGGTTATGAAATTAGCTCCTTTTGTTTTCTTTCTTTCCTTTTTTTTTTTTTTTGGTGCTGTTACTGGGGCTTTAACTTGGGAGACTCATACTCGGCTCCTCTCCCCTCTCACTACGCGCAGCTGGAGATCTTACCACTTGAGCCATAGCTCCACTTCTAGATTTTTGCTGATTGACAATAGAGTCTCACAGACTTTCCTACCTAGGCTGACTTTGAACTGCAGTCCTCAGGTCTCAGACACCTGAGTAGCCAAGGATTGTAGGTATGAGCTATTTATCACTCAGCCTGAAATTAATTTCTGACTGGGTATCATTTTATTGGAGTCCCAATGCTTTTTCATATAGTTGGTAAAATTTTTTTTTGTGAGGGAAACAATTTCATCAGCAAAATGTATTACACAACTTATTTATAAATGGAACTTTTTTTTTTTTTGTTGGTTGTGGGGCGTAAACTCTGGCCTGGGCGCTGTCCCTCAGCTCTTCAGCTCAAGGGGAGCACTCTACCACTGAGCCACAGTGCCACTTCCAGCTTTTTCTAGTTATGTGGTGCTGAGGAATCAAGCCCAGGGCTTAATGCATGCTACCTTCCCAGCCCAAATAGAACATTTTTTATACACTGGGACTGGTATTGATGACAAAAATGGAACACTTATTACATGTCTGGCACAATTCTTAGAGCTTAGTGTCAAATTAAATAAAACAGAAGAAGCCTTGGCTGTCCAGGATTCTATTCTGATGGATAGAAATAGATTAAAAAAATCAGAATAACTATATATAAGTGAACAAATAGGTAAATAAATTGGTGTCCACCAGATGGCATGTGCTAAGAAAAAAATAACAGGCTATTTGGTTAGAGATGATAGGACTCTGAGGGATCGCTGTTTTTTTGGGTTTGGTCGTGGGGCCTGAACTCTGGGCTGAGGAATCGAACCCAGGACCTCAGGCATGCAAGGCAAGCTCTCTACCACTGAGCCACCTTCCCAGCCCGGATCGCTGTTTTATATAAGGTGGCCAGGAAAGCTTCTGATGATGGTACACTTTAGGTTCTATTTATTTAGTCAGTCCTGGGGCTTGAACTCTGGGTCTGGGCACTGACACTGAGCTCTTCAGCTCAAGGTGAGTGCTCTACCTACCACTTGAGCCACAGCATCACCTCCAGTTATCTGGTGGCTAATTGGAGATAAGCCCAGTCTGGCTTTGAACTGTGATCCTCAGATTTCAGTCTCCTGAGTAGCTAAGATTGCAGGCATGAGCCACTGGTGCCTGGCTCTCTATTTTTATTTTTATTGTTACTTTTTGTGCTAGTCTTGGGGCTTGCACTTAGAACCTGAGTGTTGTTCCCTAATTTTTTTCTCTCAAGGCCAGTGCTTCTGGCTTTTTGCTGGGTAATTATAGAGTGTGAAGGTAGATCAGGTGGTCTCTAAAAGTCCTTTTCAACCTGAAGAATCTGAATGCTAGAGGGCTACTCACCCTAAGATTTGCATGTGTGTCTATAGAACATGAACTTGTGATTCTCAGCACTTTCAACTTGGTGGTTAATTGGTGATAAGAGTCTCACAGACTTTCCTACATGGGCTGGCTTTGAACCCTGGCATTATCTACTCATTTTTATGGCCCACACCTATTGCAGTTTCTCCTCTAAGCCCTGTGTATAAATTGGTAAGATTTTTGCTGTACCACTAGGCAAAAGGCCAAAGGCAAGATTTTGTGACAATCAGGTAAGGTAGATTGGAATAATAGAAAGCTTCTTACAAAAATATGTAAACAGATCCCAGGTGCTGGCTGCTCTCTCCTGTAGTTGTAACTACTAAGAAGGTTGAGATCTGAGGATCATGGTTTAAAGCCAGATGGGGCGGAGAAGTGTATAATACTCTTAATCTCCAGTTAACCACCCAAAAGCTGGAAGTGGAGCTATAGTGTTCAAGTGGCAGAGCACTAGCTTTAGCTTTGAGCAAAAAAACTCCTCAAGAGACAGCACCTAGGCCCTGAGTTCAAGCCCCAGTGTGGGTGTGCGGGTACATGCGCATGTGTGTGTACATACAATTGTAAATAGCTGGGTGTCCATAGCTTATGTCTTTATAATCTTTGTTCAGTTATTCAGGGGGCTGAAATCTGAGGATCTTGGTTCAAAGCCAGTCCAAGCAGACAAATCTGAGATTGTTGTCTCCAATTAACCAGTAGAAACTAGAAGTGGAGGTGTGGCACAAGTGGTAGAACACTAGCCTTGAGGGTAAAAAAAAAAACAAAAACAAGTTGAGAGCATGAGGCTCTGAGTTCAAGTCTAGTACCAGCACCTAAAATGAAAAATAAAATGAAAAAAATCCTAGGGTTCCCCCAACCCTCCATTTTTGGAGAATGAGGACACATGAAGGTTGGGGGAAAAAGACAGGAGGGACGCTAAGAAGACAAAAGTGAAAGAAAATGAACCAAGAGAAGCCGGGATGGAGCATGGGGGGAGGGGCAAGAGCTGAGGCTGAAGGAAATGGAACCTTTGTGCTTCACAAATTCCTAAGCTTTCCTGTTTATTAAGAACTGAACATGGGCTCCACCTGGTGGCTCTGGGCTTAAAGTACATCTAGTGGCTATGCCCTTGAGGTTGGAGGCATTTGGTATCTCTTAAAGTTCCTCTTTCAGTTGGTTTACTTTTGCTTTAGACTTTCTCATAGAGATTATTATTATTATTATTATTATTAATAATTATTATTATTTTGGTCTGGTCATGGAGCCTGAACTCTGGGCCTGGGCACTGTCCCTTAACTCTTCAGCTCAAGGTTAGCGCTCTACCACTTGAGCCTCAGCGCTACTTCCGGTTTTCTGGTCGTTTATTAGAGATAAGAGTCTCATGGACTTTCCTGCCCGGGCTGGCTTTGAACCGCAATCCTCAGATCTCAGCCTCTCCTGAGTAGCTAGGATTATAGGCGTGAGCCACTGGCCCAGCCATTGCCTGACTTCTTACTCATGGATGGGTCTGTACCATTTGAGCCACACTTCTACTTCTGATCTGATTTTCTTTTGCTGGCTAATTGGAGATAAAAGTCTCCTGGGTTTGTCTGCCTGTACTGACGTGGAACCAAGCTTCTCAGATCACAGCCTCCTGAGTAGCTATGATCATAAGCAGGCACCAGGCCTTGGTGCCCAGCAATTTGTATTGCTTTTAAGTCGTAATAGTTCCTAGATACAACTTTTTCCTTATACGGATCTTAGGATTCATTAGAGCTTTGCTGTCAAGAGCTTTTCCACATTATCTCAGAACAGTGCTTGGGGAGAGATACAGTAGGTGTGTGTCATCCTCATTTTGCAGTTAAGTGAAACAAACTTAGTTGACTGGATGAATTATGGAAAGGTTAATGACTCTCAGACTGCGCAGATGGCAGATGGTTAAGACTTCCTTACCCTTTGCCATGGGAATTGGAGCTTCCTTTTACATTTTTCTTTTTTTGCCAGGGTGATACTTGGTATCAGCTCAGTTTTGGCCATCAAGAACCTGTGATTTTGTGCCGGTTTATTCAAGCTCCCTCAGTCAACAAATTTGAGCAGCATGTTATGTTCTTGGCACAGGATTACGGATGAGAACTAAAATGCAGGTTTTAGGTTTGGCTCACTGATAAGGCTTCTGCTTTTCTTCTCTAGACTGATAATGGTCTCCAGTTGTCAAAGAAGATTGTGGATGCTAGGAGAAAGGTAACTGTTTCTCATCCCTCGAGTGTACCTGGATTCCTCCTGGAGCCCACAGTGGCTAGTAGTAGACATGGCGGAGTTTGCGAGCTACAAGGATTCAGCCTCCAGCCGCCACTTGCGGTTTAAGTTACAAAGCCTAAGCCGCCGCCTGGATGAGTTGGAGGAAGCCACCAAAAACCTCCAGAAAGCGGAGGATGAGCTGCTGGATCTCCAGGACAAAGTAATCCAGGCGGAAGGCAGCAACTCCAGCATGCTGGCTGAGATTGAAGTCCTGCGCCAGCGGGTGCTGAAGATTGAAGGTAAAGATGAAGAGATCAAGAGAGCAGAGGACCTGTGTCATCTGATGAAGGAGAAGCTGGAGGAGGAGGAAAACCTCACCCGGGAGCTGAAAGCTGAGATTGAACGGCTGCAGAAAAGAATGGCTGAGTTGGAGAAGCTAGAGGAAGCCTTCAGCAGGAGCAAGAATGACTGTACTCAGCTTTGTCTGAGCCTCAATGAGGAGAGAAATCTGACCAAGAAAATCTCCTCTGAGCTGGAAATGCTCCGAGTCAAAGTGAAGGAACTGGAATCTTCCGAGGACCGCCTGGATAAAACTGAGCAGAGCCTGGTGTCAGAGTTGGAGAAACTGAAATCCTTAACGCTGAGCTTTGTAAGTGAGAGAAAGTACTTGAGTGAAAAAGAGAAAGAAAACGAGAGGCTGATAAAAGAGCTCACTCAAAAACTGGAGCAGAATAAGAAAATGAGCCGAGAGTACACAAGGAACGCCTCTAATCTCCTAGAAAGGAACGACCTGCGGATCGAGGACGGCATCTCGTCCACACTGCCGTGCAAGGAGTCCAGAAGGAAGGGCGCGCTGGACTATCTAAAGCAGGCCGAGAACGAAACAAGAAACAAATCCGAAAACGAGAAGAACCGGAATCAGGAAGACAACAAAGTCAAAGACCTGAACCAAGAGATTGAGAAACTTAAGACCCAAATTAAACATTTTGAATCTTTGGAAGAAGAGCTTAAGAAAATGAGGGCCAGAAATAATGACCTTCAGGATAATTACCTAAGTGAGCAAAATAAAAACAAAATCTTAGCCAGTCAATTGGAAGAGATAAAGCTACAAATCAAGAAGCAGAAAGAGTTAGAGAATGGGGAGGTGGAAGGGGAAGAAGCTTTCACAGCCAGTAAAGGCCGGCATGAGAGGACTAAGTTTAGAGGCCACGGGGGCGAGACCCCTGCGTCCAGGCACGTGGCTCGGGAGCTGTCTCCTCAGCACAAGCGAGAAAGGCTCCGGAACCGCGACTTTGCCCTCAATAATGAAAACTATTCTTTGAGCAACAGGCAGGCTTCCTCTCCCAGCCTGGCCAGCAGGAGGGCAGCCAAAGCTTCCAACTCGGGGGCAGACAGCGGGACTCTGGAGACCAAGAGAACCGAGGACCGAGGTGAAGGGAAGAAGGCCAGGGAGCAGCCGCCAGTGCTCAGCCGCTACCCCCCTGCCGCTCAGGAGCACAATAAGGTTTGGAAGGGAACTTCCAAGCCAGGGACTGAAAGCGGACTGAAGGGAAAAGTAGAGAAGACAACGCGGACATTTGGTGACTCCACTCATGCATCTGTTCCCAATGACACTTCGAGTAGAGCTGAGAAGGCCTCTGATGCCCCGAGTGAAGCGCACTTTGGCAAGAGGGCCCAGGCGCTTGGCAATGGAAGTCAGGCGCCTCAGGCCGCAGATGCCGGCTGTTCTAAGACTGCCAGTGCTCTGGCGTCATCTCGAAGATCCTCCTCAGAAGGGCTGGCAAAGGGCAAAAAGGCTACCAATGGTCTGGAGGCGGATGCCAATTCCCCCAATGCCAAGGCTCCTATTTTATCAAAGTACCCTTACAGCTCCCGGAGCCAGGAGAGCATCCTTCAGGGCTTCTCCGCCCCACACAGAGAAGGCACTGAGCAGCCGGTAGCCGTGGTGACGGAGGACAGTAGTCAGCACGAAGCCCTGCGGTGTCGTGTCGTCAAGTACAGTGGCAGAGGGAAGCCAGACTCAGATGACGACCTGGACGCGACATCGCTGGTCACCGCCAAGCTGGTCAATACAACTATCACTCCAGAGCCGGAGCCCAAACTCACGCCCAACTCTCGAGACAAGGCCAGATCCCGTGGGGGCGCCAGAACCTTGCTATTCGAGAACGAAAACAATGCCGGGGTAGAAAATGAACCTGGGAAACCTGTCAGGGCCTCCACCAATGCCACAGAATTCCAGGACACCAATGGGGCCGGGGGCAAAAGCCAAAGGCCTTTTAGTCCCAGAGAGGCTTTGCGGTCCCGAGCAGTCATCAAACCTGTTATCATTGATAAGGATGTGAAAAAGATCATGGGAGGATCGGGGACGGAGGCTGTGTTGGAGAAACAGAAACCCAGCTCCAAACCAGGGTCCAACACAGTGACCAGCAGCATTACCATTTACCCTTGCGACAGCAACCCTCGGGGCGGCCCTGGGGAGAGGCACACAGCCACCAGCAACATCCAGGTGGCGTCCCCAGACCTCGCAGCTAGTAGCAACCATGTGAGTTCCCCTTTTGAGCTCTCCATTCACAAACACGACCTCACCTTGCAGCTTGCTGAAGCCGAAAGGGTGGGAGATGGCGCCGCAAAGACAAGGCTGGAAACGGTGGTGTCTCGCAGCAGCATTCTGATCAAGCCCTCGGATCCGGTGGAGAGAAATAGCCATAGCTCCTCTGCGGAGACAATCAGGTGGAAAAGCCATAGCGCCCCCTCAGAGGTGGGCTCCTCGGACGCCAGGCACGTGACGGTGCGCAGCGCCTGGAAGAGCAAGTGGGACCCAAAGTCCTCAGAAGATGCCTCGCCTCGAGCAGGAAGAAACATGGAGGCTCCCAACGCCTATACCCAGAGGTCGTCCACAGACTTCTCAGAACTGGAGCCGCCCCAGGGCTCGCTTTCGGAGCAGGGCTTGCGAAGGGTAGGAAATGCGGGCGATGCCCTCGAGCTCTCCTCCAGAAGGACCCAAAGTAGCCTGACTGTGTCAGAGGTGCTCACCCGGCGGAACCGGGCAGGAGGCGCGGTCACGGCTGTGGCGTGGAGCCACTCGGCGGGCCTGGTGAGTCCCCCTCTGCCCCTACCCTCCTTGCCCCCTCTCTGCTCAACTGGGGGAACTGCCCACTGGGCAGCACTTGGCAGACATGGGTGGGTTTCTCAGAGCTCAGATCTTGCTTCCAGCTTGTCTTGTCCACGCTCTCCTATATGAAAGGGAGTGGGGAGCTGTGGGCCTGCTAGAGGCGAGAGCAGGCCTCGCCTGTGCCTGCTTTGTCAGCTAGCACCCTATTTGTCCTGCACCCCAGCAAGCTGCCGGCCTGTTGTGATCCCATCACATGGTTTAGTGTGGCTCACCACAGGACAAGAATCCAGAGCCGCCATCTTAGTTGAGACAGAATGAGAACAGTGTCTGGAGAGACTGGGGAAGGGGTTGTCTCAGATCCGCACCCCTTTTCTTTGAGAAGGTAGGTGACGGGTTCCCTGAAGTACCTCGTGTCTCTGTAGGTGCTTAATTAACACTTGCTCTACATACTGTCCTGCTTAGGCCCTCCAGCAGCGCCCTGCAGGTGTTACCCATTCTTCACATGTAGAAGCTGGAGGTAGATCCTTACCCCAAGTGTTACTCTTACCGTAAGAGCTAAGATTTGAATACAGGATTCCAGTCTACTTCCCACCTTCTTAACCAATCTTTCTTACTCATTTTTGTTATTTTTTGCTCCATATTTTCTTTGAGAAGACAGAGAACATTAAAAAGGCAGTTCTGCTGGGTGGCAGTGGCTCATGCCTGTAATCAGTCTTACCTACGCAGGAGGCTGAGATCTCAGGATCATGGTTGGAAGCCAGTTGGGGCAGGAAAGTCTGTGAGACTCTTATCTCCAGTGGACTACCAGAAAACCGGAAGTGGCATGGTGGCTTCAAAGTGTTAGAGCTCAGGGACAGTGCTTCAAGCCCCATGGCCAAAAATAAAATAAAATAAAAATAAAATAAAAATAAAATAAATGGTAGTACTGCAGGAGAGGCGTGGGGAAGGCAGACGGGGTCTTGGGGTTCTAGAAGCTTGGGATGTGAGAGGAACTGAGGGTGAAGGGCGGCCACGCGACCTCTTGGGGAGGCCTGGGGCGCGTTGGGAGTTGCCAGGCGGGAAGAAGAGCCGCCTGCTCTGCTCTTAGCGCACTCCCTCCTGCCTGCACCCCTGCTGCGTGCAGCTGCATGCACACAACTTGGGAGCTGCTGGCCACTCTTTTTTTTGGGTCCGGCCGTGGGGCCTGAACTCTGGGCCTGGGCGCTGCCCCTCAGCTCTTCAGCTCAAGGCTAGCACTCTACCACTTGAGCCACAGCGCCACTTCTGGATTTTTTTCTTTTTGCTTATGTGGTACTGAGGAATCGAACCCAGGACCTCGAGCATGCAACGCAAGCGCTCTACCACTGAGCCACCTTCCCAGCCCAGCTGCTGGCCACTCCTGAAGGGACCCATCCCACACCACCAGTGAGATAGAGTGTACGCTTCCTTGTCCACTGGGGTTGCTCCCTGATTTCCAAAGAGTTTCAGGGGTGCCGACTTGTTCTTTGCAGTTACGCCGGGGTCTCGTGGCGCCATGTTGGAGAGGGCCCCTTGGGTTGGGGGGTGTCTTCTTTCCATTGGACTGCCTCATCTGCTCACTTCTCTCCCTTTGTCACTGTTGGTACAGGAGGAAGGTGAGGACTGCATGCTCGGTGTGTGCAGGCGAGCGCACAACTCCTTGGAGCAGCCTGAACTGCCGGGGAAGCAGGGGCTGCCGGAGCCGGGCCGCATCCGGGCTGAGGAGCGGCTACGGCCAGCCAGGCCTTGTGCCGAGGAGAACTGAAGCCGGGGGCGGGCTGCTGTCTCTCGCTGCTCCTGCTTCTCAGCTTCCCCACCTTCTGCCCTGTGAAAGGTCTGGAGCCAGTTCACCAGGCCACACAAGGCCTTGGCTGGGAGACTGGTAGAAAGCTGGGCTTTGTGGCTCTGGTAATTTTTGCCATTTGGCTGGCTGGAGGGGACGAGAGACGACAAACTGGACTACCCATGCCCAGCCTTCCTTGATGCATGAGTCCTCTCCTCCCCTTCTCCAAGGAGCATGGACAGCTGTGGCCTCCAGTAGCAGTTCTCCACTGTGTAGTCAGAGCACTCTTGTCTGCTCCTTGGTGGGGTTCTGTATCATGGAGCAGCCTCTTCTCTGTGTGGCTCATGCTGATTCTGTCTCCTCACCGCATCCACATGGCTCCTTGTTTGCCCCAGGGGTTCAGCTACCCACTCCCAGTTCCCAGCTATCAACTCCAGAGAGGGGGCGTCCATTTCTTCTTTAACTTCCATTCCTCAGACTTTGAAGGCAGCAGGGGTCTGTGCTGCCTCCCAGGGGTTACAAGACCACCCTTAGGTTGAAACTTCTCGGCCTCGGCCCCCTGGCTGGCCTGTTCCTGGGGGCAGAGCATGTAGATGCCCAATGGATTAACACCGTTCCTCTCCACCCCAGCTCACTGCTCACCATCCAAAGGCACCAGAAGTGCACATGCCCCATGCATCTCCCTGGGCATCAGTAATGCGGCTGGCCTCATCTGCACATGCTCCTGTGGCTAGACTTCATCGCTCCCACCTTGGGGAACTCAGACTAAGCTGGGCCTTACCGGCATACTCTGCCTTCTAGGAAGTGGCCAGTAAGGAGGAAATCAGACAGGAACAAGTGAATTCCCTTTGGCCACTCCACAAGCAATAGTTTTGCAAAAGGCATGGACTGCGACTGCTCCCTCCTGGACACCGGTGACCCCCCCCAGGAGGCCTTGCACTTTACCCACACAGCAGCCCCTAGTTTCTGCAGGTAGACGATGGAATGGATGACTTCACTGGAGGATGGCTGGAAGCTGCCCACTGAGGGCCTCGGATTGATACAATTGAGTCCAGCAAACTTTTAGGAAGCCACATAGAAATTGTTCTCCTTCTCTCAACCACATGGGGAAGTTAAGAACCTTAGGTTCTTGGCTCAGCTTTTCCGTAGCACACTCAGTTCAGAAGGGAACCCACGGCTGCCACAGACGCGGTGGCCTTTGCCTCCCCTGTGCTCTGACCATCGCTAAGTCGTCTTATGGATGTCCCAGTACCCCCAACTGTCACGAGTTCCTCAAAACGGACATCCTGTAAGGACAATCTCCCTCAGGTTCCTGTTTCTGCCATTCAGTGTGATGAACTCCTTCCTTTCTGGAGGGTGCTGCCAGGGGTTTGTGTTTGGGGAGCATTTTTCCTTCTGCCTTCACCTGTCTTTCTGGGCTTAGGTTTTCTCCTTTGCCCATGTCTCTCTCACTTCTCACCACATGAGGAAGAACTCCGAGGGGCTCTCTAGGTCTGTTTCTAGTCTGTGAGGGGATTGGAGGGCCCCCACGGGCTCATGTGGTACTAGCCTTGCACAGCACCCCACGCATCTCAGGCTGGTTCTGTCATTCACACCATCTGTGTATCTCTGGTTCCTGTGCCTCTGCTATGAAATTCCTGGTAACAGGAAGACTCAGAACTTCCTCGGGACTGTGAAGGCCGCTCTCCTCCCCCAGTTAGGCACCGGTGTCCGTCCACCTTTGTCTGCATCAGACTTGGCCATCCTGCCAAGGCGTGGAGAGTGCTGCCTTCTCCTTCAGGGACAGGAATGTCTTGCTGTTAATGTCTGTTTTCTAAAGCTTTGCCAATCCAGCTAAAGGCATGGTCACGTGACTCGCCTTTCCTCATGGACAGTTGAAGATGATGCTTTCAAGATCTTTCTGCTGTTTCTCCGGGATTGCTGGCCAGAAACTTGCTCACAAAATGCTGCAGATCTCCCACTCACAGCCCCCGCCATTCTCTCACTATAGTTGGCAAGCCTGAGAGTTGAGAGGAAATGGAGCGGTGTGTGTGGGCGGTCAACTGAAGACATAGGAAGCTAGGTCCCATGGGCTCTTTCATGCTTATAGAAGCAGAAGCCATGCCTCAAAAGATCTCACCAATTGTTTTCGTCTCTGGGTGTTGGAATCCTAGAATCTGGTGCTGTAGTTCCTGGTGCCAAAGTCTGGATCTTTACACATTTCAGCAGCACCAACAATATCCGTCACTCTTCAAAGTGTTCTGTGGACAAGGGGCAGCTGAAATCTGAGTGCAATAGGATTTGATTGTAACAATTACTTCAGGTTAAATATGTCTCTAATCTGCACACATTTTAGAACCGCTGTAAAATAGATTTTATTTTTAAATGTCCTCAGCATTGCAGAGAATAACTTTACTAACAAGTGAAGGCTGGAGGTTCAGTTCCTCCAGGCTTCAATTAGCTGGCTAGAGGCTGGCTCTGATTCCAAAGTTAGATGGCACATTTCTGAAAAGCAACCAAGGTGTGACCATTTGGACCCGGGCCTCATAATCAGGGATGCTGGAGGAAGCCTCCAAGTACAGGGAGACCTGGGGATAGAGTAGTTGTCTATAATCAAACCAAATATTTTCACGGTCCCAGCCAACAAGCCCACTTTTATGACGTGTTTCTCTTCTGCAGCCTGGGGCCGACTCTAAATTGTGCCAACAGATGTGCCACTGTGGGAGGACCCCCAGTGAAGCTGGGGAGCCCTGACCTACAGAGCTGCGCCCTGACCTACAGAGCTGCATGACTAGCGGGAGAACTGTATGTCGGGGGCTGGCTGGTGTCTTCCACCTGGCACTGTCTCTTGCCGTTCTGGTTCTAACTAGAGAAAGCTTATTATAAGGGGTGGTGGACAAAGCTGTGGTGGGTTTTTTGAGTGGCAATGAGTCAGTAAATGGGTTAAAGGAGTGTTCGGGGCCAAGGACTTTAAGCTCATCGCAGGCAAGCTTGCACAGTCATCGCCTCATGGGCTGGAGGCGGCCCCTCGGGCTCTTGGCATCCTGGGGCCAATTTAGTTCTTTAGATTGAGTGGGTCAGTGCCAAGTAAAGGAGCAGGACCAGAGGCTGGGTCCTTGCTCCCTTTTTTTGGTGTGGTTTCCTTTGTTGTGACTAAAAGACTGCATTGGAAGAGCTGCTTTTAGGGATTTTGAATACCCACCCCAAGTGGGGATACACCTCAACCAAGACCACAGGAAAGGGGCCCTATTTTCCTGCTGCTTCACAGCCCAGAATGGAATGTATTTTTAAGAGAATAAAGTCTATTTTTTTGTATTTTAAAGATTGGGAGGGCTAGGAAGAAGATAGCCTTCAAATAACCTGTTATGCATTCTAGGCCCCTGTGTTGGGGCATCAGGCTGTTCCATCACACCTGCTTGCTCGGGCAGGACCTCAGGCCTCACCCAGACCCCTTGGAGTCTAGCTGCAGCAGCTTCTACATTCCTGCTCTAAGCACGGGACCAAGGAGGCCAGAACCTGCCTCTGGAAACCAGGGCAATGCCATGAGCAGTGGCTCAGGGTTCCTTGGGTGCATGTGTATAGTTGAAGCTGCCTGTCTGCATGTATCCTTCGGCTCTAATGCTCTCTGTTGGCTCTGCAGCACAATATGTAACCAATAAAGCTCCCTCGTTTCCACTTGCTTGGTGTCAGTGGTGCCAATTCTGTTATCTCTGCATTGGTAATAGCTGGTATATTTCACTATTTTAGATAAAATGCCTAGCCGTTGATGTTGCAAGGACTAGAAATGTTAGTCTAGAGAAGGATCCACATATGAGTAGCAGTTAAGAGTAAAAATGAACCAGTCAGAATGAAGCGTTTGCTAGTTTATTTCAGGCCTGCTACTGTCATCAGGCTCACTGATCTCTCAAGCTGCCTATGCTACTTATTTAAAAACTAAAAAGCATAGAAAAGCACCAGCCACTGACAAGACACAGTAACTAACCTACACAGGTAACAATATACAATGGCAGAGGTGAGCTTATGATGGAGGCTGTACTCCAAAGCACTGCTGAGTGTATCTCCCACCTGTCAGTCACACTTTTTTCAATGTACGTGGGTATGTGAGTACACAGCAGTCCTAGGGCTTGAACTCGGGGCACTGTCCCTGAGCTTTTGTGTAGGCTCATTCTCTGCCACTTGAGCCACAGCTCCACTTCCAGCTCTTTGGTGCTTAAGTGGAGTAAGGAGTCTTAGGGACTTTCCTGCTCAGATCTCAGCCTCCTGAATAGTCATGCCTGACTGTGTTTTTAGTGCTGTCACTTATTCCAGGACTAAAAAGTCAGATCCCACAATGTAAGGTCTTTCGGGGGGGGGGGGGGAGAAACCCTGGTGGTGTGGCTCAGCAAGCAGTAAAGGGGGCTCAGCAAGTTGCTGAGTTTAAACCCCAGTAACCCCCAACCCCCGCAGTGGATGCTAAGGAAGAACTGGTTATCCTAAAGCAGATTACTCACATCCATTTGTAGGCCAGTAATAGTTTGCTAGAAGCACCTGGAACACTACTCCATGTTGTAGACATTTTTACCTTATATAGCAAAGGGCATGAGATGGGACATTTTTATCTAGGCTGGCCTTAAATGTAATCGTAAGTAGCCTTAGAGGCAAATCTGACTAAATGGGAAGGCACCACACCAGAAGACACACAAATGGATTCTTTTGTTCAGAGCCTTTGCAATAGAGGCAAGCCCCTCCCATTTTAGATTGGCCACCAACATTTCCAAGGGGAGATGGGGCCAGTGGCTCAAGTCTCAATCCTACTCAGGAAACAGATTTGAGGACCATGGTTTGAAGCCAGCCCACCCAAAAAGAAAAAAGTCTGTGAGCCTCATCTCTTAATTAGCTACCATAACAGCTCAAGTGGTAGAGTGTTAGCCTTGAGCAAAAAAGCTCAGGGACAGTAGTAGTGCCCAAGCCAAGTTCAACACAGGCAAAACAAAACAAAAACCTCCACAAGGGGCTGAGTATAACTTGGAGGTGATTTCTAGCATGGACAAGACAGTTTCATACCCTACCCAACACCCAAAACCAAGGTTTTTTTTTTTGGGGGGGCGGGGAACTATGGGAAATAAAGGCAGAGTACTCTGACAGAGAGGGGCCCAACTTTGTTCAGAATTGTTTGGGGTTTTATGTGGGTCATGGGGTTTGGACTTGGGGCCTGGGCACTGTCCCTGAGCTCTTTTGCTAGCACTCTGGTAGTAACAGATCAAAGTTTCATGAACTTTCCTGCTCAGTCTGGCTTTGAACCGCGATCCTCAGATCTCAGCATCCTGAGTAGCTAGGATTACAGGTGGCAAACACCAGTGCCTGGCTTGAATTGTTTTATGTCGAAAACTCAAGGTTTCCTGGTACACTCCTGATACATGTCAATCTTAGCAGAAAAGTCAAGCCAGGGAGCTATGCTCCCATTCTTTTTTGGTCCGTATGGGACCTCAACTCTGGGCCTGGGCGCTGTCCCTCAGCTCTTCAGCTCAAGGCTAGCGCTCTACCACTTGAGCCACAGCGCCACTTCCGGCTTTCTTTTTGCTTATGTGGTGCTGAGGAATCAAACCCAGGGCCTCATGCATGCAAGGCAAGCGCTCTACCATTGATTACCTTCCCAGCCCTCCCACTCTTGTTTTTTTGTAAACAGTTCTAATTTTAAAATGGAGAAAATGCATATATTATTATTGAGGTAAAACTTGCATTTCCAAAGAAGTAACCACTCAACCCAAAGAAAACGACAACTTTTATATGAAGTTTTATTCTCAAAATATATATTAAAAAAAACAAAAACAGAGCCACCAACCAAACATCAGGAGACTAAGACATCCCAAAGAATTTGCTCGTCTCCATCTTTATGAACACAATTCCAAATGAATGGACAAGTTCTTCCGTGCTGTCAAATCAAAGGAGCCAGCCCTGATTACCAAGTCAGGAGCTTGTCAGCTGCGGGTGAGCCCCAGGTCCCAGGTCTGGCGGGCAGTTTCTCGGTGGGATCTAGTATTGCTAAGAGCTTTGCTTACATGGCAAAACACACACTGGCCTTCTCCAATTCACTTGTCTCACATGTTAGGGGACTGCTGTGCAGGGACACCTGGAGTGGCCTGGCGAGGCAGGGTATACATGGCTCCCAGAAACTGGTCTGCAATCCTTCCTGCTTCTCGAAGCCCACTCAGGAGAGCACCATGGACTGTGGCTGGGTAGTTCCGGATCGTATGTTCCCCCGCAAAGAAGAGTCGAGGGATTGGCTAGTTCAGGAAATAAAATCAGCAGGTGGTTTTGTTTTGTTTGCAATACTGGAACTTGCTCATCCTCCAGCTTGACAGGAAGGTTCTGGACACTTGAGCCATGCCCTCAGCTTAGTCTTGTGTTTAAATCGACAATTCCTTTTGCTCCTGAAGTATTGATTTCCACCCTTAACTCTCATTACCTTTTCTACATTCTACCAAAATCTTACCAGAAAGCATTTTTCCTCAAATTGACAGTAGGAAAGAGGAAGTGCACCAGTTATTCATCAGTTTACTGATCTCACATTCTAGAGTTTTCTTCACCTCAGGCAGTGTGCCTTACTGGCTAGGGGAGGAGAGGATGCTAAGTACTGTGAGCAGGAAGTATAGAGCGCTGCTGCAGGATCCACTCTACCTGTCCACCCTCAGGTGAGAGCAGACCACAGGCTCTGACGGGTGCTGAGGAACCCTGACTGCTCTTCGGCATAATCGAAGATCCTAGAAATTCTGAGGCTACAATTTTTTGTTTCCCTGTCGGTCCTAGGGCTTGAACTCCAGGCCTGGGGACTGTCCCTTAGCTCTTCAGCTCAAGGTGAGTGCTCTACCACTTGAGCCACAGCACCACTTCCGGTTTTCTAGTGAGGTAAGAGTCTCATGGCCTTTCCTGCCCAGGCTGGCCTTGAACCGCAATCCTCAGATCTCAGCCTCCTGAGTATTTTAGGATTACAGGCATGAGCCATAGCTTTTTTTTTTTTTTAAAGGTAAAAAGAAGTTACTGACTTGTGAATTTAGACTGGTTAGGTTTACAGAGCCAAAACAGAACTAACAAACATAGCTCCTTCCTTTACTCTTCGGTTGTTTCTCTGAGAATCTAATGATAGAATGACCAAAATCTAAAAAAATAGATTTCCCAACAGACACAGATGTTCTTCTAGTTTCTCACCTGTGGGGCACCTGGAATTGAGGGGCCAGGAGTGATTGGCTGAGCCATTAAATCATAGTCATTTCCAGATGATCCTGCAGCTACATAAGAATAGGAGCCCCGGGCCCAGGGATCAGCACGCCAACGAGACACCACAGTTTCCTTGGGCTAAAGGAAAGATCAGGAATAAAGTCATTACTGACACCAGGACAGACCAGCAGTAGTCAGGGCAACACTGGGAGCCAGGTGATGGATACCCCTGCTTTACCATGAACCAAAAAAAGACCACACTCCACCATGCCTTCTTGTTTATGAATCCAGAGACTCCTTCCTTCTACAAATTCATAGGGGCCATTAATGTCTCCCTTCAAAAAAACAAGGGGCTAAAGGACTTTAAAAGAGATCATCTTCAGAGCTTTTTGCTGGAGTTTGGTTACTCTATCTAAAAGAAGGAGTAACTTGACAGAAACAGCTAGCAGTGGTCCAGCTCCTGTTTGGAGGACTTTATTCCCTTCTCTTGATATACTGGGGTTTGGTCTCAAGGTCTTGTAGGCACTCTGCTCTGTGAATCATGCCCCTAGCCCTTTTTTTGCCTTTTCAGGTAGGCTTTTTGTTGTTGTTGGTTGTGGGGCTTGAACTCTGGGCCTGGGCGCTGTCCCTCAGCTCTTCAGCTCAAGACTGTGCTCTACCACTTGAGCCACAGTGTCACTTCTGGTTTTCTGAGTGGTTTATTGGAGATAAGACTCTCATGCACGTTCTTGCCTGGGCTGGCTTTGAACCACAATCCTCAGGTCTCAGCCTCCTGAGCAGTTAGGATTACAGGCGTGAGCCATGGGTGCCCGGCTAGGCTCACTGCTGTTTGTCCTGCAGCCAGCCTGGGACTGTATATCCCACCTTCACTTCCCTAGTAGTTGGGATTATTGGCATGTTCCACCACACTGTAGGGGACTAATTCTAAATATTAGAATTCTATGAACACAGCATGTACAACTTCTCCATAATGAATCTTTTATGTATTCCGATTTTGTTCTGACCAAGAACTTAGGCTGCAAACATCAAATAAGCCAAATACTGGTTTAGTAAGACACCAGATCCCTGTGTGTGCTCCACCTTACCTGGGGCACGGCACTGCTACCAAAAATCCCTTTGAGAATGGCCAGGCACCGGCCAACGATCACATCATCGCTTATGTTCTCCATGATGCCAGCAGCTTCTCCTGCCACCAGGGCTAACAGGATGGGAGCTGGGGAGACAAAGGGTGAGCCAGGGGTTCCCTCCAGATTTCTCAAGAACCTGCCAAGCCACACCTCAGTCCTGTAACATCTGACAAATGGTGGAAATCAAGTTGTTTCTGAACTCTCTCAGGAACAGGCTGAGTGATGAGGCACTGTGCTGCTTGGAATGAACACCATAGAACATAGCAGCTCTCAACAAAAGATAACTGGAAGCTGGGTGCTGGTGGCTCATGCCTGTAATCCTAAATACATAGGAGGCTGAGATCTGAGGATCGTAGTTAGAAGCCATTCTGGGCAGGAAAGTCCGAGAGCCTCTTATCTCAATTAACCACCAGAAAACCAGAAGTGGAGCTGTGGCTCAAAGTGGTAAAGGGTAGCCTTGAGCACAAAAGCTCAAGGGCAGCACCCAAGCCCTGAATTCAAGCCTTATGACAGACCACCCCTACCACACCCCCCAAAAAACTAAACTAGCAAGACAATTCAGACCTGAAGCGTAAGGTCCATGTCCTGAAAGGTCACTTTCAGATACTACCAATTGAATACCAAGACTTTAAAGCTAAGTAGAGAAAGCCAAGTTGGGAAAAGTGAAGAAAAAGTGGTTTGGGTCCAGGCCATAATACTTGCCTTGAGGCAGTACACAGCAGGCACAGGATTTAAGGGCACAGGCCTAGGATTTTAAGGGCACAGTGTGCCAGGTGCTGAGGAGTGAGCAGAGGGGAAGCAGTACACCACAAGGCTGACACTGCCACGATCTCATGGCCTGCATAGAGAGAAGCCCTGAGCTGCTGTGTGCACCGTGCAGGAACAAAGCACCTTCTCTGTGGAGTCAGAGGCCTGGCTGTTCACTTCAGGCAGCAGCGACAGGGAGCCGGTGGGGAGGCATAGTACGCCAGCGATGAGGCCTTGTGGTCTAGGGCATGCCCTGCCTGTGGCCCTGCTGTCAAAGGCACGCCCTGTGCAGTGTCCGTGTTGCATTCTTTTCTTGGAGTGAGGTGGGATACAGAATTACAAGCAGACCAATGACAAGAAAATAACTGAACAGGACAAGGATGTGAAACTACCATTGAAGGGAAGTGATCAAAGGTTCCATGGCAAGTGAATTTGAGAATGAAGAACACTCCCCCCCCCCGGCTGGCCCCCCCCCCTCCCCTTCTAGCAAGATTCCCTCACCCTGTCCCTCCCAGCAAATGTGATTCTTTGTGTGCTCTCAACACTGCAAAAGGATTTTAGAAATTGCCATTGAGTTACTGAAAAAGATATACATACTTGAGAAAACCCTAACTATTCCTCTTAGGTTCCCGTAGGATATGGAAACTGGGAAGCGGTTACCTTTGTACAAGTTCCAGAAGAGAAAGAGCTCGCCCCGGCTGGCAGTTGTGCTGCCAACATGCCCGAACAGATTAACACTTGGGTCCCAGAACACCCGGTCAAAACACAGCACCACCTGTCACAAGAAGGGGGGCGGTGAGTGGTGCTGGGTCTCAGATCATGGCTCCTCGGACTACTAACACCACCAACTGACTTCTGATGCAGCTCAGTAATTGTTATTATAAATGTATTCTTTAGGATGACATTTTTGACTCTATAATTTTGTAGGTTTGGGTTTTTAAAAGTGAACATATTTGGAGCATCCAAACTGCTAGGACTATGGCTTGGGATCCTAGATGGCTGAGAGCACAGGCAAGCACGGCTATACAAAGAGGACTCGTCTCTACAGTCAGGAGGGTGCACAGGGAAGGCCTAGAGCATGTCACCTTGTTCAGGTTGCCAAATCCCATCCTTTGGACTGCAGATGTTTTCCACTCAGGAAGAGGTGGCACAAACTGTACAGCTGGTGGCTGCTGCTTCAACACACCCAGGGGGAGGGTACAGAGAACCGCATCACACTTATAAATAAAGGTCTGACTGGTGGAGCGCGTATTCACAGCGATCACTTCACATCCTGGAGAGGGTGGTGAGAAGAGACTTGATTGGGGCTAAAGGTGGAATCAAGGAGGCAGAGAGCACCAAGCGCTTGGAGTCAACAGGCTGTTTCTTCTAGTTTATGCATGGATCTATTTATACATGATACTATTTTCCTTTCAGATAAGAAAATAGTCTGGGGGGCTGGGAAGGTGGCTCAGTGGTAGAGTGCTTGCCTTGCATGCCTGAGGCCCTGGGTTCGTTTCCTCAGCACCACATAAGCAAAAAGAAAAAAGCCGGAAGTGGCGCTGTGGCTCAAGTGGCAGAGCGCTAGCCTTGAGCTGAAGAGCTGAGGGACAGCGTCCAGGCCCAGAGTTCAAGCCCCACGACCGGACCCAAAAAAACAAAAACAAAAACAAAAAAAAACAAAGAAAACAGTCTGGGCGCTCAAGACTGTCATCCTAGCTACTCAGGAGGCTGAGATCTAAGAACCACAGTTTAAAGCCAACTTGGGCAGTAAAGTCTGTGGAACTTTTATCTCTAATTAACCAAAAGCTGGAAGTAGAGCTGTTGCTCAAGTGTAGAATGTTAGCCTTGAACACAAAAGAGGGACAGTGCCCAAGCCTCAGGACTGGCACCTCCCCCCTACCATCACCAAAAAAATCACCAGGAGAACTGAGTGTAAGGCTGCACAGGTTACAATGGCCAGGACAAAGGCCAAACTCTGCTGAGTTCTTGCTGCTCTCAAAGTGTTAAGTAACTTACAGCAACATCCCAATTGAACCAATGACTTGCCCACAGACTAGCTGCAGAAGGATTGAAGAATGGGTCCTGAGGACTCGCACAGACCACATATGCATGGCCTCCCACTGTGGTGTGGCCTTGTCTTGAGAGAATGCACCATGGGGCTAAGCTTGTCAAAAAATGTGCTCAAGGCTGGCCTCAGAAGTGAATGGCATTGATTTAATCTCAAATGAATGCTTATGTAATTGTATGCATATAATACACTATCAAAAACTATTCTGAGGTGTGTAAGAGCTCAGTACATGGCCATTTCCTGTGGCTGCAGAACTCTGGGACGTGACCTTGGTTACACTCAACTGTTCTCCATTGCCTGCTAATTTTTTCATTTATAAGACCTCCACAGACCCAAGTTTTTGTTTTTTTGGGTCCGGTCATGGGGCCTGAACTCTGGGCCTGGGCGCTGTCCCTCAGCTCTTCAGCTCAAGGCTAGCGCTCTACCACTTGAGCCACAGCACCACTTCCGGCTTTTTTCTTTTTGTTTATGTGGTGCTGAGGAATCGAACCCAGGGCCTCGAGCATGCAAGGCAAGCACTCTACCACTGAGCCACCTTCTCAGCCCCAGACCCAAGTTTTTATTTAGGAGCTACAGTTTACCTAATGCTTGACAAGGAACTATCCCTCACAGTCTTGGTGCAGTCTTAACAGATAAGGCTCTGCCTTACCTGTAAAATAGTCACATACCTGAAGCGGTGTAGCGGACCTGTCGAACTGCTGTATTCAGCTTAATATCTAGGCCTTCAGCCAAAGCCACAGGCACACACGAGTACCCATTCCTCACTGTCAGGTGGCTGCCAGTAAATTCAAAGTCATCGTCCTGACAAGGAAAGAAAAGGGTCTATTTCCACATTCATCATTGCTATCTGCACTGAGTTCTGTATGATTGTTGGAAGAATATAAGCTTAGGTGGGCGTTGATGACAGATGCCTGCAATTGTAGCTATTTAGGAGGATGAGACAAGGATCGTTGTTTGAGGACAGCTTAAACACTTAAGTTTTCAAGACCATTTCTTGGCCGCCCATAATTGGATATGGTGGCATTCACCCAATCAATCCCAGGTACAATGGGAGGAGTTGCTTGCCTTATAGCATAAAATAGGCACAGGTCCAGGCAGGAAGCAAGACCTTTTCTCAGAAATAATCAGGCTGACAGGCATGGGTGGCTCAACCCTATAATCCTAGCTAAAAACTTAGGAGGCTCAGTTCTTATAAGATCTCAGGGTTCATCTTTCGAATAACTTGCAAAAAAGATGGGCCAGAAATGCAGCCCAAGTTTAAGCTCTAGTAACTGCCTAAACCAAAAATAAATAATAATCAATGCAAAAAAAAGCTAGAAATGTGGTTCAGTGGCAGAATAAACTATGAAGTTTGAGGTTTTGAGTTCAAACATTAATTCTACCAAAACCCCAAATTTGTAGAAAGAGACAGTAACTAAGGAAATTGTTCACAATTCAGCTTGAGCTGCTCATCTATGGGAGGTGGGATTATAAATAAAGGGCTTTTGTTTTCCCTTAAGTTTTCATCAGCACAGTACCACATAAATTCACCGTTTAGGGGAGAAACACGTATGTGGAAACACATATGATCAGAAAGCAATAGACATCTGTTGAAATAGCAGATTTACTATCCTAGTTACATTTTCATTTACCTAAGAGCAAAATCTGGTTTTATTCTTAAAACTTACAGATTTTGAAGTTGAAGAAAATTTCTAAAATTTCACCAACTAGGTGAAAGCAACCCAGGATTATGAAGGGAGGCCCAAGATAATTCAGATAATGCAAGCAACATTTGGGCTAGAAGAACTCCCCCCCCCCCAAAAAAAATCAGCCTATTCATTTGAATTTACCATACATTTTTCTATAAAGAAAACCTTTTTTGTTGCTAGTAATGGGAGTTTCATCTCAGGGTCTTGTAGCTGTTCAGTTATAACTCTACCACTTGAACCACACCTCCAGCCCTGTTTTGTGCTAGTTAACTGGAGATGAAATCTCATGGGCTTTTCTGCTCATAGCCCAGTACCTCCAAGAAAAAAAAAATACATTGAAAGCACGTTTAACATAAAGTCCAGGGGCTGGGAAAGTGGCTCAGTGGTAGAGTGCTTGCCTTGTATGCATGAGGCCCTGGGTTCGATTCCTTAGCACCACATAAGCAGAAAAACCTGGAAATGGTGCTGTGGCTCAAGTGGTAGAGCGCTAGCTAGCCTTGAGCTGAAAAGCTGAGGGACAGTGCCTAGGCCCAGAGTTCAGGCCCCACAACCAAAAAAAAAACAAAAAACAAAGTCCAGCATACCAGGGACTCTGAGTTTGGCAATTTGATACGCCTGTATTAATAGCTTAATAAGAAACCCAGGAAGTTTTTTTAAAGAAATTGACAAGATAATTCTATTTTTTTTTGTGTGTGAAAATACAAAAGACTTGAAAGCCAAGCTCACGCTGTAATCCTAATTACTCAGGAGGCTGAGATATGAGGATAGTGGTTCAAAGCCAGCCCAGGGAGGAAAGGCTATGAGACTCTTATCTCCAATTAACCACCAGAAAATAGGAAGTGGTGCTGTGGCTCCAGTGGTAGAGCACTAGCCTTGAGCTGAAGAGCTAAGGGACAGCCCCCAGACCCAGAGTTCAAGCCCCATGACCGACAAAAAAAAAAACAACAAACAACAACAAAAGACCTGAAAATAGGGGAAGCAAGCAAACAAACAAAAATATTTCAATAATGAACAAAGTTGTTGAACTCAAGGCCTGGGTGCTGTTCCTGAGCTTTTGTGCTAGTCTATAGATGTACATTTACAAGACCAATGGAAGACAAAAGAAGACACTGTGCTGAAATGGAAAAAGATGGGGACTATCTAACCTCTCACTATACACAGAAGTCAGCTCAAGATGCATTATAGACCTACAGCTAAGAGCTAAACTCACAAAACATGGGAGAAAAATCTTTGTGAACTCAGATAAGACAAATGATTTTTAGGATATAAGAAGAATAAACATGGGGTTGAAATTGTAGCTTAGTGGTTGTCTGTGTTGAGCATGCTCGAGGCCCTGGGAACAATCCTAGAATCACCACCAAGTAATAATAATAGTGATGATGAGTAAAAAATCCAAAACAGATGGTGCTGGTGGCTCATACCTGTATTCCTAGCTATTCAGGAGGCTGATATCTAAGGATCTTGGTTTGAAGCCAGTCCAGGTAAAGAAAGTCTGTGAGACTCTTATCTCTAATTAAGCACCCAAAAAGCCAGAAGTGGAGCTGTGGCTTAAGTGGCAGACTGCCAGCCTTGAGCATAAAAGCTCAAGGAAGCTGGGTGCTGGTGGCCCATGCCTATAATCCTACTTGAGGCTGAGATCTGAGGATGGCAGTTTGTAGCCAGCCCAGCCAGAAAAGTCCCCATGGACTCTTATCCTCAAGTAACTACTCAAAGGAGACAGAAGGGGTGCTGTTTCCCAAGTAGTAGAGCCCTAGCCTTGGATACAAAGAGGCTCAGACAGTGCCCAGACCCGGAGTTCAAGACCCAGGACCAAAAAAGAAAAAAAGTTTAAGAACAGCACTGAAAGGAAAACAAAAACAAAAACATGGGTTGGGAAGGTGGCTCAGTGGTAGAGCTTGCCTTGCATGCATGAGGCCCTGAGTTCGATTCCTCAGCACCACATAAGCAGGAAAAGCTGGAAGTGGCGCTGTGGCTCAAGTGGTAGAGTGCTAGCCTTGAGCTGAAGAGCTGAGGACACTTTCCTGCCCTGGCTGGCTTTAAACCTTGATCCTCAGATCTCAGCCTCCTAAATAGCTAGGATTACAGGCGTCCACTGCTGGCACCCAGTGGGTCCCAATAGTGCTGTGAACTTTTTTGTGGTCATGGGGCTCAAACTCAGCACCTGGGCACTGTTCCTGAACTCTGCTCAAGGCTAGTGCTCAACCTTTTTTTTTTTTTGGGTCCGGTCATGGGCCTGAACTCTGGGCCTGGGCACTGTCCCTCAGCTCTTCAGCTCAAGGCCTAGCGCTCGACCACTTGAGCCACAGCACCACTTCCTGTTTTTTTCTTTTTGCTTATGTGGTGCTAAGGAATCGAACCCTGGGCCTCATGCATGGAAGGCAAGCACTCTACCACTTAGCCACCTTCCCAGCCCCCTGCTCAACCATTTTGAGCCACAGCTCCACTTCCAGTTTTCTTGTGGCTAACTAGAGATGAGTCTCGTGGACTTTCCTGTCCAGGCTGACTTTGAACTTCAATGGTCAGATCTCAGTCTCCCAAGTAGTGAAGATTACAAGACAATTTTTTTTTGGGGGGGGGGGTCCAGTCGTGGGGCCTGAACTCTGGGTCTGGGCACTGCCCCTCAGCTCAAGGCTAGCACTCTACCACTTGAGCCACAGAGCCACTTCTGGCTTTTTTCTTTTTGCTTATGTGGTGCTGAGGAATCGAACCCAGGGCCTCAAGCATGCAAGGCAAGCGCTCTACCACTGAGCCACCTTCCCAGCACTAAGACAATTTTTGTATAACATAAATATAACAGCAGACTTCTGGCCAGAATTTAAAGGATTTAATAAGCTATTTACAATTTAGCAAACAAGACTATAAACAATCAAGCTTAGGTGCTTTTTTTTTCCCCTTTCTTTTTTTGGTGCCTGTGCTGGGGCATGAACTTAGGGCCTTGGATTCTTGTTTGGTTCTCCTTCTTTAAGAGTCTCTTGGATTTGTCTGCCTAGGCTGGTTTTGAACCTCAATTCTCAGATTTCAGTCTCCAGAGTAGCTAGGATTACAGGCCTGAGTCACTGGTGCCAGCTACAACTAGATTTTTTTTTTTAATGGGCAAGAAGTGTGAACAGACATTTCCACAAGAGCCAGTAAGCACATGGGAGATGTGTCTCCATGTGAGGCGTACGCCCTGCTCCACCCACTGGAATGGCTAATGTTTTATTACTACATTCTGGTGCGGAAGTGAAGCAAATGAATACAGTTTAGAATCTACTTTCCGACTGGGAATGTGGCTTAGTGGTAGAGTGCTTGCCTAGTATGCATGAAGCCCTGGGCTCAATCCTTCAGTACCACCTACACAGAAAATGCCAGAAGTAGTGCTGTGGCTCAAGTAGTAGTGCTAGCCTTGAGCACAGAGAAGCTCACTCAGGGACAGTGTCCAGGCCCCGAGTTCAAGCTTTAGGATAAAAAAAAAAAATCTTTCCATAACATCTAGCAATTCTATTCCAAGGTATTCACAAAAGACATACACATTCTAGTAACTTCATTAATAGCTAAAAATCCAGAAAGAACTGTTTATTCATTTGCACATCAGCGTACCAGCAAATGGATAAGCAGCTTTGTGCTGAGTCAGTCACAGTCACAGGCAGAAGGTTACTTTTGTACCAAGACTGAAACTGTGGAATGAAGCTAGAGTGCCTGGAGCCAAAGCATGAGGGATTCATTGCAAAGGAAAAAGAGAAAACTACAGGATGATGGAAATGTTCTATGTCCTGACTCCTGGCTCCTGACTAAGTCTCGCAGATCATTGAATTGTTTGCTTAAAATGGATAAAGTGTGTTATATACAGTAGACAGTAGCTTCTAACAACACACACACACACACACACACACACACACTCTCTCTCTCTCTCTCTTCTCTTATTAAAGAGCACTCTTGGGTATCTGTAAATAATAAATGATAAAGGCTTGTTACCTGATCCCAATGTTTGAGGGACAGGGTAGAAAGAGGTGTGGCATTAGCAAATTCAAGATTTGCAAAATGCCAATCAAGTATTTGTCTGTCTCTTGATGAGAGATACACATCACTGAAAAAATAAGAACAAGAAAGTACAGAGTTAACAAAACCATTACTGCTATTCTCAATGAGCTGGTACGCTGGAATGTAAGTTAGGCATAAGGACTGTACCTTATGTAAAGAAATTTGAAGTCACAAAGTAGACTCTTACTGTTTCATGCCTAGTGCCTATAGCAGTGCCAACCTCACCTCAGTTAGGAAAACAAATTACAGTGGGACTTCATTTATTGGAAAAATAAAAACATTTCTTCATACTAAGTCTTCTTGCATTATAAAAGTTTCTGTGATGGGGCTGGGAAGGTGGCTCAGTGGTAGAGCACTTGCCTTGCATGCATGAGGTCCTGGGTTCGATTCCTCAGCACCACATAAGCAAAAAGAAAAAAGCCGGGAGTGGCGCTGTGGCTCAAGTGGTAGAGCGCTAGCCTTGAGCTGAAGAGCTGAGGGACAGAGCCCAGGCCCAGAGTTCAGGCCCCACAACCAGACTTTCCCCCCACCCCCCAAAAAAAAAGTTTCTGTGAAAGTCTATCTTCTACTTTATTTGTTGGTTCTGGTGCTTGAAATCAGGGCCAGCACTCAAGGCTAGTACTCTACCAATTTGTGCCACAGCACCACTTCCCGTGTTCTATTTTAAATAAAGCGCAGATTTAATTACAAGGAGAAGCATCAGTGTTTCTGATGATAGAATGTAGAACAGGCACACATGGAACATCAGTTACCTCCTGAACTCCAATGAACTGAGCATAATATGTTTCCAGTCTCAGGAATTAGGAATATTTAAAGCAACATCTTTTTTTTTTAAACCATAATTAAGACAATTTTCATCTGTTACATCTTTACCCAAATATCAAATCTTATGGTGAAGGGCTGTCTTTTCAAAGACTGTCTGTTTAGATGTCAAGAATACTCTTTCACATTAAAACATAGTAGTAGACAATTTATAAACCTGACAGGTAGCCCTATGTCCACAGATATTTCCCATTCACTAAATATACTTTCATCTCAATTTAACACAAAAAGAACAAAGCAATCTCTGTTTGGTTTTCCATACCTTGGAGGATTGGCTTCTAATTCTTGAAGTTTTTCTTCTAGTTTTCCTTGTGTTTCAGCTAATTCATCATATTCCTGATAAGATTTTTAAATTAAGAGAATTAATTTATCCCAAAAGATGTGATTATCTGTGTAGCTTATTATCTAGACAGTAAGACTTGAGTCATCTTTGCTGCTTAGCTACCATGGAAAGCACAGTTTACTTTAAGGGCAGGCTAGATAGAGCAGGGATTCCTATCCTGGTCAAAGACTACAAGCCTAGCTGGGTGACAGTGGCTCACGCCTGTAATCGTAGCTACTTGGAGGCTGAGATCTGAGTGAGGATCATGGTTCAGAGCCAGCCTGGGCAGGAAAGTCCGTGAGACACTCATTTCCAATAAACCACTAGAAAACGGGAAGTGGCGCTGTGGCCCAAGTGATAGAGCACTTGCTTGAGCTGAAGAGTGCAGGGAGTTCAAGCTTCATGACTGACCAAAAAAACCCCAAACAACAACAACAACAAAACAAAAAACAAAACACAAAAAAAACTACAAGCGTAGGGGTAAGTTGGAGGAGAGAGATTCTAGAATACAAGGGTAAAATTAAAGGAAGCATATATTAATAGTGTGCCTCAAAGTACAGATAATAACCATTTTCTGAGCATTTATCATGGCTCAAGTGCCAAAATAAGCAACCTAGAGACAGAATTTTATTTACGCTTCACAACTAGTTTACAAGTTAGGTTTTATTAATGCCTAACTTGTGATGGCTGAAATAACTAAGGAGCCTAAGGTCACAGGGATAGGAGGCACCAAGTTAGGGAATGCAGCTTGACTTCAAATGACTGCTTTCATTACTATTATTCTCAACTGTCAAGGTAAAACTTCCCTGAAAAAGCAGTTCTCAAACTAAAGTAAGCCTTTAAGTTGCTATGGTTATGTGTCAAATCACACTCTTAGCACCTGAGATTGGCTGGTACCAGGCTTTCTCTAGTTTCCCTCATTTGTGCTGTTTTTTCACCAAGTAAACCCAGGTGGGTGCGTGTCACAGCACACCTTGCACAGAGCAGTCAGGTCCCGGTGCTTGCTTTTCACTAGGAACTCAGCAGTGATATCTCTTGGTGGCTTTACTTCAGATGCTTCTTTATATTGCTGATGGAGCTCTTTAATTTTCTCTTTCAAATTTACCATCTAAAAGGGAAAAGTACAAATTTACTATTCCAGACAGCAATGGAATTTGTCCCCAAATAATACATACCCCTGCCTTTGGCTTCTCCCCCAAATTGGGCGAAGTCCTTGGAAAACTCTAATACCCATTCTACATCATGGCACTTGAGAAACAGGAATGAAGCAATTCTGAAAGGGCAGGAGTATTCATTAAAAAAAAAAAAAAAGTATTGGCAAGTCTATGTATTCTATCTGCCACGACAAGAACCTCATTCTCCATTTATTCCTGCTACTATGATGTTCTGTCTGGCTTGCCATGGGCCAAGAACTGTGGGCTAAAATCTCTGAAACTGGACATCAGTAGACATTCTATGAAGCTTTGATGACCAAACATGGCACTGAAGCCAATGTGTAATGATAGCATGGCAAGTCAAGCTCAATGAACATAGCCAAACCAGCAGTAGGCTGTGACAAGACTGGGATAACCCAGAGGTATAACATGGAGAGGCAAGGAAGGTTAGCCATTTCACCTGTCAAACACATGCTGGTTTTTCATGTGTGTGTATGTATGTATGTATGTATGTGTGTGAGACATACGTGGGAAATGGAGGTTGTAATGTTGAAAAGTAATTTTAATTCTCAAGAGAAATAATTATGGCAAGAACTAGCTCTGACTTGGTAGGTCTTCATCATTGAGTACTTGGCCCCAATACACTTGATCTTCATCCAACCCTAGAATTGTAAAGACTGCGATGAGCCAGCTACTGCATACAGGAAAGATCAATTTCCTCTAGCAACACTGGTTATTATTTTAAGTATAATTCGACCCAGGTATGCAGTCTTCCTCATGGAGACAAAACAAGCCATGCTTTTAACATTCCTAAATTAGAGACTTTTCCTCCTATTTGAAGTTTCTTTAGCTATGAAGAAATATAAAATTGAACCTTATTCAGAAGTTCTTTCAGCTCTTCCTGAGTCTTTACTATCTTCTTCCAGTGTTCAATCTGCTCATCTTTGACATGCTTTTCTTGTAACCTATGAGAGACCAGCTAGTCAGTTCTGCAGCAAACACATTCAAGATCATCCAGGCACAAAGGAACACCTAACACTTGGGGAACACGGAAGTTAGCTGCTAACAAACAAACTGTTCTGTAGGCTATGTTAAATACAATAATAATGCCATAAAAGTCGATTTTAGAACTGAAAGGGACTGTAATTATTTCCTTTTTAAACACTTTCACACACAAGTAAGTAGAAGGTAGTTCAAACAAGGTTTATTGAAAATGGCAGATCTGTAAATGGATTTTACTATATGATTAGCAGAGTACTTACTGAATAACAACTTCCAGTGCCTGGCCCAGGGACACAGGTTTATTATTGAGGACATTGAAGTCTAGCTGATGGCTAAGGTAAGAAGTGGCTTCTAGCAACCGGTTAAATTCTTGCTCTACCATTTCATCTTTCTCTTTAGGAACCTGAAAATCCAAGTATAGCAGAGTTGGTCCTTATAAAACTAAACACAGCCATCCATGAAGACACGAATGCTCTGCGGTGTTAAGAGTCAAAATATGCATCTCAAAGGCAAAACCTTTGAGGACAATGATTTGGTTTTCTTTTCTATGAAGTGGTTAAGTCCATTTAAATGAGATATGGAATGTTCTAGCCCTGATTCCCCCCTTTTCTCCCGCAGAGCTGAGGTTCCACCTATGGTTAACAGCCACACGATTTACACTTGCACTACCTGAAGCTGCATGGAGCACAAGGTGCACTGCTGACATGCACTGAGCTGAGCTGAGCTGACATGCAAACATACACTTAAGAAGTCCCAGAGAACAAAACTTTGCTCACATACCTGAAGACCTTCAGAATAAGGGCAGGATAGGAAAAGAAGAAGCCCAAGTGAGTGGCTCCCCTCAAAGATGACAGAGTGTCAGGGGGAAGGAAGTTCAGAGCAAGAGGTAGAATTCATGGCAAGTAATAAGCACATACCCTTGTGTGTGAGAAGCTATTATTCTTTGGCAGAATAGCTTTTTCTGGCACTGATAACTTAGAGTTGAATGTCAAAGTTCTTAGACTATGAGTAACTGAGATACCAGAAGGGGGACTATTCTCTAGGCCAGTCTGTGCTCCACACTCTGCTACCATCTGTTAGTTGACACCACGCCTCAGCTACTAAGTATTAAGGCCCCAAAGCAAACTACCTGCAGTCTTACTGCTGAATTCATGGCAGCAGTGAGGGAAGGAAAATGGAGGCCTTAGGCAAGCATTGATTTCTGTAAGCTGGGAAATGAATGGGAAACAGGATTCAAAAAGCATGGAATTTTGTTTTGCACTCAATATAAAACTGGTGGCAAGAAAATGATTAGAGATAACTGACTGTTGACAAGATCATCACAGTAAGATTCCTTCTCTCCTGTATTCCCCCTTCCCGCCCCTCCCCACCCCAAGCTCTACTTTTGCCCCTGTAACTAAAGAGATGAGTAAAAAAGAGATGAGTAAAGCACTATCCTGTCTCTCACTCATCACAAAATAAGGCTAGGAGATGAGTTGCAGTGTGAGGGGAGAAATGTAACCAGTAACGGAAAGACAAAGGAAGAAGCTCGCCACTCTGCTCTGGATCTGTAAACACGGCAGATACCACAAATGGCTGAATGAGAATCAAGCTTGAAGCCTCAGTCAAAAGACTAAATTCACGTAAGAGAAAATGCTAGAATGAGAGAATCACCTTTACCCTTAAGGAAATCTAAACTCCGAGGAACCTTGTGGTTCATGTGGAGAGCTGAGGCAGAGAATCAGACTTTGGATGCCTGGTGCTATTTATATTAGAGTGATCCCAGGATCTGTGATCCACAGTAGACCTACCCACTCAACTCCATGGCTGAAAGGAGAGCTGCTGCTGCTGTTGTTCCTATGACTGAATGAATGCACATACAGACGGGAGCTAATGGAAGAGGCCCTGTCAGGAATCTCACTCACTTTATCACCACTTCCTCAATGACTTGATGGATATAACCAGAAAAACAGATTCCGCTTACAAACTTTCCACTTCCAGGGCAACTCCTGCAATGATGCTACAAAAATCCATGTAGTTATGCAATCCTAATTGAAAATAGTACAATGTGTAAGACTGCTTTTCTTGGAATACAAAGAGTGCTTTCTGTCTGTGGCCTCTAGAATGCATAGGAAGAGGATGCTAGCGCAGGAAGAGGGCCTGGACATCTGCCTCCACTGTAGGGCAGAATATGCCAGTAAACAAGAATCAAAGTGGGCCAGATTAAAGCTCTTCCAGTGCCAACTGGACTGCTTGTTTCAGACAAGCTTTAATCTTTGTGATTAGGACAACAGTCACATGGAGGAGTCCATACTAAGAAAGTATGCAGCACTCAGCCTCACTAACTGGGGTCTAGGGTGTGTGGTAGAGGAATATTTAAAGGGACACTGTCAAGGTTACAGGGACCAAATTGACCTTTTGTTTCTTCCCTCTATTTTCTGAACAGCCTGCTTGGTTCATTACACTTTCCCCTTTCCCACCCACATTCCCCACAAAAAAAAACTGACGTTTTACATGCGCTTTCGATGACAAAAACTCTGATGGCACCAGCCCAACATATAGGCGCAACTCTACAACAACAAACCAGTGTGAATGTGGGATGGAAGAGATCTTTGAAAGGAAACTGTGTCAAGCTTTTAATGGGTTATTGTAAACAGTGAGGAGAAAATGATTTGAAAAATTATGAAAAAAATACCTTGACAGTGTCCTTTTAACCAGTGCAGCAGAGAGAGAAATAAACTGTAAATAACAGCCCAACAGCCACGTCAAGTTTAGTTTCGTATGACAGCAGTAAAATCAAGGCTTTAAACACATAGCATGACAGAAGCATTCTGTAGCTTAGAAGCTGCAACCACCAGGGACAGACTGTACAGAGACCAAAACAGGGAAGTCAAAGCGTAGAAATGACCAAAAGAAAAGCAGTTTAAAAAAGGTGGGATGGGAGGGGTGTCAGGAAGCAGTGTGGAACAAAGCAAAACTCAATAAAAGAATGGAAAAACACAGAACAGTAACAAGAAAATCAAACAAAAACTCAAACCAAGGTGCCAGGACACCAGGACAGGACTGCATCTCCACGCCCCACTCATACCCAAGACTTATGGGAGTTAGTCAGTAGCCCAGCCCCAGACATTTTTTGCCTAGGTAAACAACTACAGGGATGTTAGCTTCCTACTGACTCTTCTTCCATCAACTTTAAATTTTTATTTCAAAATTCAAGGAATATTTAGAAAGTGGCAGACAACTTACTTATTCAATAATGACCAAGAGACACTTAACATAGGTTTTTAATGTTTAAAGTTTGAAACCATTTCTAAAAATCAACTGGTCAGAAATGTTTTGCTTGACATGACCAGACACTTGAAAGAATCTGGCAATGGCTGCTAACTATGTGTGTTCCGGATTACGTCTTGCCCCTCAGAAACCCTTGGATCCTTGTTGCTTCTCCATATAGTTGAAGAACAACAACTTTAGGGAACTAAAAATATTGGCAATCTCTAAACCAAGTTGGAATTGTTTTCATTTTACTCGTCCACTTAACTCTGGGTCTTTAGACTGAATCCTGGGAAAGGATCTCAATAAACCATCAAAGGATCTCAATCCAGGTTAGAGGGTGGACATTCTACATTGCAACATAGTAATAGCTTCCAACAGCAAACTAGGAATTCTTTATAAGAAAGGATCAATAATACAAAGCTGTCTATCAAAGAAACAGACAAAAACAGTATTACTTTAAATAGATTCTGGTTATGACTTCCCAAAGCCATTTATTTCTCTATGAAAGTACCAGATAAATACAGTACCTTTCTAAATTTTTTTGTGGTGTTATATAGCTTAGGTTGGCCTTGAACTTATAATCATCCTGCCTCCGCCTCCTGGGTACTACAATTACAGGCATGTACCAACAAGCTCAGCTGTACCTTTCAAATTCTGAGATCTAATGAAGTCCATTGTTTCTACATGAATTAAATTTTGTTTTGTTCTTGGACACTGTATGAAGCATCCTGAGCATGAATGATCACAGAAGGACAGCCTGTATATCTAGTCCGAGTAGAATAAATTTAGGGAAAGCCAAACAAGGCTCTGGAGAAGGTATCAAACATCAGAAGCTAATCTCTAAAGAAGGAAGCTCTCCTCAGCATTCCATTATCACAATCATTGTAATCTTCAAACGCACTGGCATCTATCTTACTTCCAGTCATCAGAAGCTCAGCAGCTGAATGGATTTACATGCAACACTGTGAAAGGTACAGAAAATTCTAAGGCAGACTGAGAATCCCTTAAGAAGAACTTTGAAAAATGTGGTAACTGGGCTGGGAAGGTGGCTCAGAGGCAGAGCGCTTGCCTCGCACGAGTGAAGCCCTGGGTTTGATTCCTCAGCACCACATACACAGAAAAAGCCAGAAGTGGCGCTGTGGCTCAAGTGGTAGAGTACTATCCTTAAGCAAAGCAGCTCAGGGACAGTGCTCAGGCCGAGTTCAAACCCCAGGACTGGCCAAAAAAGAAAAAAAAAAAGAAAAAGAAAAAAAAAAAGCTGGGCGCCGGTGGCTCAGCCTGTAATTCTAGCTACTCAGGAGGCTGAGATCTGAGGATCACGGTTCAAAGCCAGCCTAGGCAGGAAACTCCATGAGACTCCTATCTCCAATAAACCACTCAAAAACCGGAAGTGGTGCCGTGGCTCAAGCGGTAAAGCACTTGCCTTGAGCTGAAGGGTGCAGGGACAGTTCCCAGGCCCAGAGTTCAAGCCCCACGACTGACAAAAGACAAAAAAAAAAAAAAATCTGATAATGCCAAACCTGGCCATAAAAGACCAGTAAACCTCCTCCTTGCTACCTACTTCTATCACATTCAACTGCGCACTTCTAAAATTATGGTGATAGAGAACATTGTTCCTTCCTCTGGTAAGACCCAGAGGAAGACATTCACACAAAGTATCTCTTAATTCAGATTCTCCCAAACAGCTATTATTCCAACAGGACAAGTATATCTTTAATCCTAAAAAATTCAATATGGTTCTTATAAATGGAGACTGTTGCCTCATCCTCATCTTAGAACTGGTTTGTTTTTAACCTATTTATTGGGGTGGGTGAAGGGGTGCAAACATATAACTCAACTCTAGCAGGGTTAAGTACAGAGTAGAGGTGTGCTCAGTACATTATTTTGTTGTTGTTGTTAAATAAATGTAGTTCAGGAAAGCAAAGTATTATTACAGTACATATATAAAAGGGGAAAATTATTTTGAAACTTAGGATCATTACAAGAAGGCAAGAGGCTTTTTACATTTAAAAACAGCAAAGAAGCTGGATGCCAGTGGCTCACATCTATAATCCTAGTAACTCAGGAGAGGTTGAGATCTGAGGATCTTGGTTCAAAGCCAACACTGGCAAAAAGTCTGAGACACTTATCTCCAAATAACCACCAGAAAACAGGAAGTGGCGCTGTGGCTCAAAGTGGTAGAGTGTTAGCCTTGAGTGAAAAAGCTCAGAGGCAGCGCCCAAACCCTGAGTTCAAGTCCCATGACCAACAAATAATAAATAATATAAAAAACAGCAGAGATTAGCAGTTATGATTCTAAAGAGGAAAGAAAGACTGCTGTAAAGACACTGAAGATGGGCTGGGAATGTGGCTCAGTGATAGAGTGCTTCCCAAGCATGTGTGAAGCCCTGGGTTCAATTCCTCAGTACCACATAAACAGAAAAGCCGGAAGTGGCGCTGTGGCTCAAGTGGTAGAGCGCTAGCCTTGAGCAAAAGAAGCTCAGGGACAGTGCCTAGGCCCTGAGTTTAAGCCCCAGGACTGGCAAAAAAAAAAAAAAGACACTGAAGATTTTTCTTCAAAAGATGAAAACTAAAAAGGATAATAGGCCTGTGTCTTACAAGATACTCCATATAAACACAAATGAAAACTTGGGAGTTCTACCAGGTGTTGAATACATATGCAGTGTATGGTATATATTCAGTACAGTATATAGTCAGTGGGCTTTTTAAGAGACCTAGCATCCACCCCTTTCAAGTGTCAGCTTGCTTGCGCAGACAGTTAAAACCACTGCCATCAAAGAAATCAAGATCTCAGCTTCTCAAAGCAGTCATGGAGCCTTTGGATCTCATTTAGTAACAACACGTACCCCAAAGATGATCAGAGATCTTGTAATATAGAATATTTCATCTGATTAAGACATGCTTTTTATAATTTAAAAGAAAAAAAAAGGGTATCAAAAGCCCCTAAAGTTATTAGTGGGTAACCAGCTACATGCAAAAAATATTCAAGGTATTTCCTATCTCCCCCATCTATAAGTTTTTGGTATTTTACTGGTCCTGATACAAAGTAACCAATTCCTAACCTTCTCCTTGTCCAGTTAAAGGTGATTATAGTCTAGTTAACACTTTTATTGTCAGTCAATCTGTGGGCAGCTGCCATATTAGCTTGTTTTGGTGGGCTTTTCTGGGGTTGGTTGTGAGGCTTGAACTCAGGGCCTGAGTGCTGTCCTTGAGGCTCTTTATGCTCAACGAGAGCACTCTACAATTTGAGCCACAGTGCCACTGCTGGTTTTTGGGTGGTTAATTGAAGATAAGAATCTCATGGAGACCTTTCTGCCAGGCTGGTTTTGAACCCTAATCCTCAGATCTCAGCCTTCTCAGTAGCTAGGATTACAGGCGTGAACCACTAGCGTCTGGCTACTTTAGCTTTTTTATAGGCTTAAGACATAGAAGATTTCTTCTACTTTTTTTTTTTTTTTTTTTCAGGTAAGGGGTAGGTTTATTCAGTAGACCTGCTGGGACCAGGCAAGGTTGGCACTCCACATGACTGGGAAAGGAAAGAGGAAAGAAAGGAAAGAGAGAGAAAAGAGCTAGAAAAGAACAGCCTTCTACCTTCTTAACATCTCTAAGGTAATTTTCTACTCTAAATTATTATCATTATTATTTGCTGCTGGTATCAGGGCTTGATATTGTGCATGGCTGGTGCTCTATCGTTGCTCTATCACCTCCTCTACTTCTGTCTTTTTGATAGTTAACTGGAGATAAGAATATCAAGGATTGGGCTGGAAAGGTGGCTCAGTGGTAGAGTGCTTGCCTTGCATGCCTGAGGCCCTGGGTTTGATTCCTCAACACCACATAAGCAAAAAGAAAAAAGCCGGAAGTGGCGCTGTGGCTCAAGTGGTAGAGTGCTAGCCGTGAGCTGAAGAGCTGAGGGACAGCGCCCAGGCCCAGAGTTCAGGCACCACGACTGGGCCCTCCCCAATCCCCCCCCAAAAAAAAAGAATCTCAAGGATTTATCCGCCCAGACTGGCTTCAAACTGGGATCCCCACATCTCTGCCTCTTGAGTAAGTAGGACTATAGGCACAAGCTATTGGACCCAGTTTCTCTATATTATATTCTTTAATAAAAGAGCTCTTATTCTGGTCATTCAGAGCCACAAAATAAACTTTTTTTGGGGGGGGGGGCAGTCGTGGGGCCTGAACTCTGGGCCTGGGCGCTATCCCTCAGCTCTTCAGCTCAAAGCTAGCATTCTACCACTTGAGCCACAGCACAACTTCTGGCTTTTTTTCTTTTTGCTAATGTGGTGCTGGGGAATCAAACCTAGGGCCTCATGCATGCAAGGCAAGCGCTCTACCACTGAGCCACCTTCCCAACCCCAAAATAAACTATTCTTATTAAAAATAAATATAGGCCAGGCGCCGGTAGCTCACGCCTGGAATCCTAGCTACTCAGAAGGCCGAGATCTGAGGGTCACAGTTCAAAGCCAGCCCAGGCAGGAAAGTCCATTGAGACTCTTATCTCTAATAAACCACTAGAAAACCAGAAGTAGTGCTGTGGCTCAAGTGGTAGAGCGCTAGCCTTGAGCTGAAGAGCTGAGGGACAGCGCCCAGGCTCAGAGTTCAAGCCCTGACGAAACACAAAAACAAAAAAACAATCCTACATAGATCAGAGTTAAATGATAACTATCAGTTTCAACTGGAAACAACTCCTGCATACAAAATGCAAAAAAAAAAAAAAAAACCACATCTCAAATGATCAACTCTTTTTTTGGGGGGGGGTCTGGTCATGGAGCCTGAACTCTGGGCCTGGGCGCTGTCCCTCAGCTCTTCAGGTCAAAGCTAGTGCTCTACCACTTGAGCCACAGCACCACTTCCGGCTTTTTTCTTATATGGTGCTGAGAAATCGAACCCAGAGCCTCAGGCATGCAAGGCAAGCGCCCTACCACTGAGCCACCTTCCCAGCCCCTCAAATGATCAACTCTTTAACTTAAAAGGATATATAAGGGCTGGTCCTGGTAAAGTAGGGATCATCTAAGCCAGGAGATAAAGTTCACTTTTTTCACAAAGTATTTTATTACTATACTGGCTGTTTATGTTGTCCATACACTATGTTAACAGTTCAGACTGGAAACTGGAGCAGGTCATACTTGAATAATGCATACTGCTATTTCAAAACAGAAGTTAAACAGAAAGTGTTAAACAGAAACAAAAGAAAAAAAAACAAGCTGTGAGTACAGCTCAGTAATAAAGCATTTGCCTAGCATGCATGGAGCTCTGGATTTCAGCCCTTCTCCCAGCTCTACAAGGAGAACAGAAGTATTACTAGGTCCTCTGGGCTGGTAGTGAATGCCCATGATCCTGGCTGAAGCAAGAGGAAGGAGTCTAAGTTGGAGGTTGGCTTGAGCTACATAGTGAGACCTAGTCACAAACAGTTCACCTAATACCAAGAAAATACTTTTCTGGACATCTCTTCTAGAAAAATGTTCTCTCTAGTTAAGAGTAAACAACTGCTCTACGTTCAGAAAAGTCTAAAGAAAATAATGGTGTCTCAATGATCAGTGACAATTATTAGTGTAGAGTTACTAACTGGAGTTGATAAAAATTTCTACTACAAACTTGTGATTTTCAGTCAGGCCTACAAAATAGAAGCTTAGGGTAGTCTAAGCCAATCTAACAGTGGTTAAATTATTCAGTGTCCAAGATGGACCACATTTAGACTGCTGTCATACTGGTTATAACAAGCTCCTATGCCTGTGACCAACAGATCCTTACACTACCCATGCATCTTCATAAGTATGACTATTTATTAGCCTATCAAAACTTGAGCCTACAAACACAAAGTCATGAAAAGCATGTGAAGCTAAAGCACACAATGGAAGCACAATACAAAGAAATGAAGAAGTACATTTAAATTTCAGAGGTCTCTTGGAGTGGCCATAGTAATCAACCAAATAAAAAGATTACTTGTCTAGTTAGCCTTCATTACAAGTCTAAAGATAAAATACCTAACTGGATATGTAAATTTGTACATATGCAATGATTCTTTCCTATATAGCTTTGAGTTAGGAAACCCAGAAAAATGTAACACCATTTCTCAGTTTATGTAATTTGTATGTACTTCAGTCACATATTACTTCCATATTTTCAACTAAAACAAAAAAATTTTGAAAAGTTTTGTTTGTCTTCAACTTACAGCTTGTCCATTGGCTTCATAAAGTGGACATTTTTGCTTGATCTTTGCTAGTTCCATATTTACTTGCTTGCTGACTACAGCCATGGGATTCCCACCTACAAAAGATTAAATGAAATTCAGCTTACCTATGAGAAGAGAAGAACACTTTTCAAAGTAAAAGTATCTTTTCTCAGAATAAAAAATGCTTATCTGAGTGTAGTGGCACCTACCTGTACTCCCAGCATTCCAGAGAGTGAGGCAGGAATATTAAGATTCCAAGGCCAGCCTGTGCTACCCCTATCTCAAAAAACCAAGGACTGGGGATATAGCTCAGTGGTACAGTAAGTGCCTAAGATGTGAAAGGCCCTCGTTCATTCCTAGCCCAACTTAAGGGTAGGTTGAATTATAGCTAATAGGCTCAAAAAAAAACCATGTAAGATAACACATAAACAAAAAATGACACGTAATTCCCTGAAGTTACAGATTCCATACATAAAAGGATTACAGCCCATGTATTATTTTCACCTTTTTTCACTTTGTAAAATATTGTAGACATCATTTCATGTTACTATGGAGCTGCATAATTCTTAGCTGGCTACAAGTAGGGTCTCAGTGTACAATAATTTCATCTTTAAATCTGTGGTTCTGAATGTTCTACCACTATAACAGTGCCATATTAAAAACATATTTCTAATATAGTTCTTAGAATAATTTCCTACAACTAAAAAAGGATCCCTGAGGTTAAAAGATGTATGTAGCCGGCACTGTTGGCTCACGCCTGTAATCTTAGCTACTCAGGAGGCTGAGATCTGAGGATCGTGGTTCAAAGCCAGCCCGGGCAGGAGAGACCGTGAGACTCCTATCTCCAAAAAACCACCAGGAAACCGGAAGTGGCGCTGTAGCTCAAGTGGTAGAGCGCTCGCCTTGAGCTGAAGAGCTGAAGGACAGCACCCAGGCCCAGAGTTCAAGCCCCAC